TGTAATGATGATCTCTTGATAAATTCTCCATAATTGCCAGAAATGAAATATTTTGTCAAAGCTTTAATAGACATTATTTAGTCATGTTTTATTTTGGATAAAATTATAAGATGATATATATGATTTGTTTTTGTGACCATGAACTTGACTTGGTAGGAAATTAAAGGTGAATGCAGTAAAATGATTTATGAAGGCTAAGCATGTATTTTAAAATTAAATTGGATGATTTGAAAAAAGCCTAAGTCTATGAATATGGTTTTGAGAAAATCACACAGTCTTGCAAGGTCCATTAAGTCTTTATGAAAATCATTTTAACAGTTATACTATTATATAACTATTGCTTGTGGATGTATATATACCAAGTCAATTTTTTTTTTTTATTAAAAAGAAAAACATTATGTCTTGAAGGTATTTATAAAAATGAGAGAAAAACTATCATGTATTTTTTTTTATTAAAAAAAAAACATTATGTCTTGAAGGTATTTATAAAAGTGAGAGAAAAACTATCATGTATTTTTTTTTTAAATACCTATATGATTTGACCCATGGTTCTAGTTATTTAGAATCCTTGATTACCTAAGACTTTGAACCATAGGAAATGTTGTAGGAATGCCATCATGCTGGGCTTTCCTAACACGTGTTGATTTGATTAGATAACTTGGTTTGTATGAATTTACTACCGAGATGTCTAGTGTGGTTAAACCTTTGTGGTTCATGAAGGTTTTTGCATATTGTGAAACCAACGGGTATTGAATTACATATTACATGAGACTTGATATGCTACTCATGATATATGCATAAGAATATTGAGAATGTAAATGTTGTATGTGCAATAATTGAGTGGGACCTGCTACAGTCCCACGGTTTTTTAGCTGCTCGGATATTTAGATATACATGTGCAAGCTATCTCACAGATCCAGATGATGCGAAGTCTACATCTGGATATGTGTTCATGCTTGGAGGGCATACATTTTCTTGGAAATCAAATAAATAGAATGTGATGAAATTGTCCACCATGAAGGCAGAGTACATGACGTGCTGTTTGGTGATCAAGGAGGTCGTATGGATTAAGAAATTTCTTAATCGACTTGACTTTCACCTCGTGTGTTGTGAGGCAGTAAGAATTTTCTGCAATAGCACGGTGACGTTTTGCATATCAAAGGAGCCACGATTCCATAATAACTCCAACCATATAAAACTATGTTTTTATCACTTGAGGAATGAGGTAAGATTGAGAAAGATCAAGATCTAGATAAACTAAATATTCCAATGGGAGCACCTGCTAGTATTTGGCATGCCAAATAGAACAACAGACTATAATGTTGTTCACCCATTGAACCCAAATGTTTGGTGCTGGTCGTATATCTACAAAAGGAAGCAGCTTATTTGAAGAACTATTTTGAGCCCATGAACATACGACCCCATGCGATGAGGGTACATGATGGTCCTTTACTACAATAAATCTATGATTCGTGATGCGATGTGAAAGATGAGCTTACGACCATTTTTGGGATGAGATCCTAGCAGCAAAGAGAAAAATGTGTTGCCTCTATAAATCCTTTTGTGAAAGGATTGATAACGAAAGCCATGATTAATGTATTGAGAGAATAAGTAAAAATGTTTGAGAGAGATTGTAATTGGGAGAGAGAGATGAGAATGAGAGAAAGTAAGAATGAGAGAATATAAGGCCTTTAAAGGTTAAGTGGAAGATATTGGGTTTATGTGGCATTTAAATGCCTTATGAGTGTTTGTAAAATGAAATGATATAGTGGAACATGAACTCAGTGTGAGTGTGGTCCCTCATGGGCCATACTAAACAAACGATGGTTTGCTGATACCAATTTGTGCTTAACGATCTAGGCCGGTCGATTGGAAAAAACCCATGTTACCTGGGCATAAAGAACAAACCGATGAGGGTTTATGGGTTAGCCCTTGATGACGTCCGAGAACATGCCCGGATGAGTGAGCCGAAGGACTGTGTGACCCTTATGTGTGACGGTGGCCTACTGAGACAGGGGCCAAAACCTCATCCATGTTCCATCACACAACATGCATATTGATAGATCGTTCGAAAAAACTAGATATCATTCACCTTTGGTGAAGCGTATGCATGTGTGAGAGATACCCTTATGCGCCATAGAGTTGTGGTCCCATCAGGTCGTGGTGACCTTGACTCGTCTCAAGGAGATGAACTGTAATCCACAGACTGGGATTGCGACCCCTTGATTCATCGACCTGACTTTGGTGACCCGTTAATGAGCCCCTGTTTGGACTGTGGGTCATGGAACACTAGGTCGGTTTGATAAAGCTAGTATGGTCTGTAGTCCACAGTTGAAGGTGGAGTACCCCGTTATTACATATTGGATTCCTAAAACCATATGGATCATTTTCCCATCATATTAATTTAATTGTGTTCATTTTATTATTGAAATGATTTCAGTTTTATTATTTAAATTTTTATGAATCTCTCAATATTTTAGTTGTGATTTTTGGACTTATAAAAATACAGTTATTGTTATTACAAAGTTATAAAAACTTCAAATATATATTTTAAATTATTTTATTCAAATTTTAAAACAATATTTTTTATAATATTCCATGGGGGCCCATAGTGCACATGGGCCCACTATGTGGCGTGTGGGTGGGGGCCCACATGTGCCACAAAAGGGTAGCATGCCCCACCCTCTTTGGATTCTCTTGTTTGCTTTTAAGATAAAGTTAGTTTGATTTGTGGCTTGTGGTCAAATCTTGGAAGGGATATATTGACCATGGCTTTATATATTTTGTAGCAAGTTTGTTTTAAAAATATATGGTCAATTTGAATTGATATGGAACTTATCTTATTTATATTTGGTAGTATTTATCTACTTGATATTATTTGACATATCTTTATGTAATATGTGACATGGATCGTGCAATTTTATGGAATGCATGATATTTATTTTATTTAAATATATTGATGGGAAAATGGTTTAAGAACGGGGGATAATGATTCATACACATTCCATAATGTTGATGGCCCATCTATAGAATGGATGGCTTAGATCTCTCACCCCACAAGTCACCCTTGATCGACGGTCTATGTTCAATCTCATAAAAAGATGCAAGCTAAAGAAAACCCTAAGAAACCCTAATCTTATTCAAAGCCTATAAAAATGGATTATCTCTAATTCCCATCTTTCTCTCTCATATCCCAAAAAAGGGACATGCACTAGTATCTTATGTTTGATCTCTCTCTCATTTTGTGAAAGAACTTATGAGTTTAGGTTATAGAGTTATTCTCTTATATATCTCAAATATGGATTTACGGCTAAGGGTTTTAAGGTTTAGCAAAAAGAGAATCCATCTCTCTCAAACTAGGTTACTAAGAGAATTCACTTAGGGTTTGAGTTTGTGATCAAATGAGTTCATGTTCCATTAGTCTGGCTTGGCCGAAATTTGCTTTCTCGATTCGAAATTGAAGCTAGACCGTTGATCCCGCACCATCATATGATGGTGACTCGGTGTGGGGTGTAATGAGCCTGGTTGAGATAATCTCGGGCACTCTTCCTTTTGTTTATTGCAATCTTATCTTTTATTCTCAAGCATAGTGCATAGTTATTTCAATGATATCAAGTTGTTAAGATCTTAGTTTTATTGTTATGATGATTTTATTTTGAAATTTATTTTATTATAATAAAGACCACATGTAAGTGATATTTTTTCCAAAAGAAAGAGGTGAAAAAAAGAAAGAAAAGAAAGTATTTTCCAGTAAAAAATCATATAGGACTTTCTTTCGGTCCTACCTTATATTTTTAGTTTCAAAGTTATGAAATATATTAAAAAATATAGATTTTTTTATTTTTGAATCGGGTCCAATTGGGTAGGGTCGGGTCCAAGTCCCATATTATATATTTCGGATCCGTGTTCGAGACCCGACCCAACCTATTGCCACCCCTGGCTCGAGTTTGATGGTTTGAGGGGCTAGAAAAGTCTTTTTTCTTTTGGTTCCTAGGGAGAGCTCAAGGAAGAGCGGCAGCGCCGGTTTTAAGAGATGGGGATGGGGTAGTTGGTGGTGAGAGAGAGATGGTTTGCAGTGAGGCAGTGCAGGTTTTGCAGAGATGGGGATGGGGTGTACAATAATGGCATTAAGATAGTTGAATACTCCATATTCCATAGCATGGTGTAGGCTAGAAAATTAATGTTTTTGGTAAGGCAAAAATTATGATTCGTCTAGAGAGGGTCTAAAACAGATTCATAGGACTTCCAAAATTTTCGATTCCGTAGAATTTTTTCAGCTAAAAAATAAGGTGCCTACATTATTTCTATTAAAATTTTCTTAAAATATTGTAAAGAAGGTAATAAATTTGATTAAAAATTTCACATTTTCCAAATAATAAAAAAATGTGGTTGAAGAAGAGATGCCTATTCATGATATAATTGAAATAAAATTTCAATGACAAAAATTTCCATTTATGTCATTACGAATCATTAATTTTATAAAAGTATCACATGCATACCCTTAATAATGATGGAAAAATTTCCACAAATTTTAATTTCAGTTAGTACTTCAACAAAAGGGGACATAAAATAAGCTCCATTTAGGCATCCTCTTCCAAGATAAAGTTGGGTGGCCATGACATTTTTTTTAAAGCAATATAAAAAAGGATTGTATATAATAAGAGGTTAAAATTATATTGAAAAAACATTTGAACGGTTAGTTACAATTATTTTTAAGTGGACTACCTATTTGCATCAATCTTTAAGATTAATGCTGTATATTTTTGGACCGCGTATTGTATAAATGCAGTCCAGCCCCCATAAAACAATTATTCTTAATGAAGGACATGGTTAGCATGTGGCCAAGCCTGCACATGTGCAAATGCAGGCTTGGTGATAAATATATTTTCCCAATATAATTTGATCATTTTTAGAGAAATTATAATCTTTAACACGAGATCATGAATATGAAAAAATAAAAAAAATTGAAAACTGAAAATAATAATTAAAATTTTAATTGGCAGTGATTCAGTCGCGTGTAACTGAGCACATGAATTTGTACTCGTTCCAAAACGGACGATGTCTTTCGCTTTCTATGCGTTTCCTCCCCCCCTCTCCGTTATTTCGGCAGCTCCAATCACGCCGCGTTATTTATTTCCCGGCCGTTACCTCCCCCTCACACGGCCTCCGTTTTCCCATTATCCCCGCCGTTATCTCTCAGTTTTCCAGCAGCCGGTCTCCCAATTTGTGGGCCGTTTACCGGTTTCTGGGATTCCGGTTATCTTATTTTCCGGCGAAGGGGGGCATTTTATTCGGGATCAAAGCGGTGTAAGCCGTCGGGTTCTGACGCGAGCGGCCGTGATGTTGCCGGAAAACCAGGTGGTGCGGGACGTGGCGGCAGCGGCGATCGCGGCGGGCGCGGCTCTTGGGCTTCTGCGGTTCTGGGATGAGATGGCCAAGCGCGGGGTTTTCGACCAGGTATTTAGGCGTTACTTCACTCTCTCTCTCTCTTCTTTCTATGCCCTCTCCCACTACCAGTGCCTCTCTTCAAGCCTGTAAACTCTCTCTCTCTCTACCCTTTGACCCTACTGTCTCTATCTACCGGCGCTAGTGCCCTCTTTATAAGCCTCCAATCTCTCTCTTTCTCTCTCTAAAATACTCAAGCGAATTCCTGGGAATTTTGATGTTATGGTCAGTCAGCATTGTATAGACTGAGTATATTCGGATCGATTCAAGACACTTCTGTTAAGAATCATGATTTTTTTTTTTTTTAAGTTCAGTGGATCTATCAATGTGAGGTAATTATCTGATCGAAAATGCAATTCATCTCATAACGCATCAAAAATTGCAATTCACTGGTTGAAAAACCTTTAAATCGATCATCTCAGCAAAAAAAATTAGGATTTCAAATTTTAAAAATGGTGTATATTGCAACAAATCATCTATACCTTCCATTTCCTCCTAAAAGTAAGTGTTTATTGTTTTAGTTTCAAATTTTATTGTTGGTGTTGGAAATTTTAGAGCCATCATGAAGATTTCCAATTACAATTAGAGCCATCATGAAGATTTCCAATTACAATTACAAGTTTTGCTTGAAATCTTCTTTAAAGCTTTTATCAAATAATTTAATTTATACTGGTTTTGGTCATCGAGTTTATGGATTTCAGTGTGATGGACCTACTCAGTAGCAAGGGTTTCAAGGTTGAAGCTTTTGGCCAAAAATGACAAGGGTTTTCCTCTGTTTATTGCCAAAGCCAAGAGATTTCTATGGGGTCTAGTGATTTAAAAATGGACCCGGTTTCTATGTGGCCAAGCCCGCATATGTAGAAATGCGGGCCTCTTAATAAATCTATTTTTGAGATGGATTTTAAGACTTAATTTTTAAAGACATGTAATCTCTAACATGCAGATTATGAATATGAAAAAATAAATAAATTTAAAAACTAGAAATAATAATTCTAGTAAGAAAACATTTGGACGGTTAGTTTCCATTATTTCGATGGAACACCTACATGCATCCATCTTTAAGATGGATGCTTTACATTTTCTGGACGGCATATGTAGAAATGCAGTCCAGCCAGCGTGAAACAATTTTCCTTTAAAAATCTGAGGTTAGATTATTGGCTTAATTTCTAACTAAAATATTAATTTTGATGTTACAAGATATTTAGTTGCTTCAATTCTTGATAATATCTAGTCTAGTGAGATGTGATCATATTTATTTTTGATTTAGAACTGCACAAGTCCTAGTCTAGTCACTTGTGAATAGGGATCTGAAGTAAATGCAAATGTTTTGATCCTAGTCTAGTCACTTGTGAATAGGGATCTGAAGTAAATGCAAATGTTTTGAAGGAATACTCTTGAGCTTCCAAATATGTTTACATTTGGTTGGGTGGTGCTTAATTCTCGTAAAAGTTTTTACCTGTAGTTTCAGTTTCCTCTCTCGTTGTGGTTTTATCCGACTTCGAAAAATAAAATGAAACGAAGTTTGTGTAATCATCTGTTCTATGTATTGTCTAAACGATTGCTATGAGCTATAGAACGTATATGGGGGCAATTAGGAATGTGGAACATTTGATTACTTAACCGGTTAATCTACATTATAGTATACATTGCAAATTAGCGCATTTTCAAATCTTTCTTTACAATTTTATGAAATTGAAGAATGCAAATTTTGTTATTTGACAAGAACTAGATTTTTACTGCCAATTTTCCACAAAGAAACTATCCAACATCCGGAGTTTTAATTGGTGAGGAGCAACTTCTTCAAATAAATTGCATTTTCCCAACTATTTGGATTCCCTTAACATTATAGTTGTTGTTCTCTGTTCATTTCATGCAGAAACTGAACCGTAAGCTTGTGCATATAAGTGTGGGGCTGGTCTTCATGCTTTTCTGGCCTTTGTTCAGGTAGAAATTGATTTAGACTATTCTTTAAAAGGAAAATATATCATAGAACATTGTTTATGGTCACTTTCTCTTCCTCTAAAACCATTTTTGTTCTATTTACATGCTGCTAATTTGGTTCTCATCTTCTACAGTTCCGGACATGAGGCAGCATATCTAGCAGCTCTAGCTCCAGGGATCAATATAATTCGAATGATTTTATTGGGCTTGGGTATTATGAAAAATGAGAATATGGTCAAATCAATGAGCAGATATGGAGACCACAGGTTAGGTCATATGTTCCCCTTGAATTAGTGGTCTTGTTTCTCATAGACTTTCGTCCTTTTGCTCCACATGCAAGAGCTGACCTCAGATATGTAGACTGTTAAAGATGAAATTTTTTGATTTATGAAATGTGTCAACATAGCCTATATACAAGCCAAAATAGGGTGAAATGACTAAAATACATGATGAAATTCCCTGCATAGCGTAGCAGAAAGAAAGTAATGCGTTGCATAGATAACAACAATAACTAACAATGTCGCATTTAGATAATAATAGGCTATGTTGCTAGATTAGTAACAGTGATATACTTCTTGGTGCCTCAGGGAACTATTGAAGGGGCCCTTATACTATGCGTGTACCATAACTCTGGCAACTGCAGTTTTCTGGAGAACTTCCCCTATTGCCGTTGCTGCTATCTGCAACTTGTGTTCTGGAGATGGTATTCCTATCCTTTATACTTTTTCTTTCTCTGTTATATATGTTGCCAAATTGGTCCTCAAACTCTATATTCGTACTCACACGATTTGATATTAAATTATCCTTTTATATCTGTTTGGGTTGGTTCAATCTACTGGTTTCTCTGGTGATAGAAACCTGACTTGGGCTCAGATTCACCAGGAACTCAGTGGTATGACTCGGTTGTGTCTCTCTGAGTACAATAAAAATTAGTGACTTGGTTCAGACTTGCCCCTGGTCTTAGGGTTAATCATCCTGACTTGCTCTGAGTGACTAGGGGGAGTCCGAGCCCTGAGTCACTGATTTTTAAAATAGTGTGAGTTTACCCTGTAATGAAGTGATTTATATTCTCTGTGGTTGTTTCCCTATGCATGGATGGAAATGCATACTATGTATTGTGTTAGGCATACGATCCTCTTTCTTGGTGCCCATGGATCCATGTTTTTGTGAATGTGTCCATGGGACTTGATGTTTGATGCATATATTTTGCCCACCTATGATGTTAGGATACTCAGATAATATGTAAAATCACAAATGCTGATGCATAATTAACGCATTCATGCATGGGCTTATCTCTGCTTATCTCTTTGGATGTGTTTATGCGTGAAAACCATGTAATATGTCATCCATGCTGAGAATTCTTCTCTATATTTGTTTGTAGGGTTTGCTGACATTGTGGGAAGGAGATTTGGGACCTTAAAGCTTCCTTACAATATGAACAAGTCCTTCATGGGTAGTATCACCATGGCTGTTGCGGGCTTCATGGCATCGATTGGGTATGTAACTCAAATGAAGCTCTTATTTTATTTACTTCTCTTATTGACCTAAGCGGCCATATCAAGATCGATATGATCACAGAAAGTCCTTGGTCATAAGTTTTATCACTGCCCTATCACTTGATGGATGGTAACAGAGAGAGAGTGGGATCCTTCGTGACATGATATTGCCAGAGTGATAGGTACTACTTTCTCTCCATGTTTGTCCATCAATTGATCTACGCTGGTGGTAACCACTTGGACCACAACTTCTCCATGATCATATGGCCCATAGTATTCTGTACCTCGATTTAATTTAGGGAAAGTATATCACAATCATATGGATCATAGGTGGTAAATTTCTGCAAAAGAATGTACATCACCTGATCATGATAATGGGCACTGGAGATAACCGGAGTGGGGTCCATCTGGACATTCAACCAGTTATAATCTCCATTGATCATCATAATGAACGAATGGCAAGTGCCCCTTTGTAGTGTCATATGTCATAATCCATAGGATTGTGATATACCTTCACCTCAATTTATGCCAATATTTCACTTGACTTCGCTAAATTTTGAACCAACATTTGTGGTTTTGCTTCTCTTGTATTTCTATTATCTCACAGGTACATGTATTACTTCTCCTTATTCGGCTTCTATAATGCAAGCTGGGACTTAGTGACTGGCTTCTTTCTCGTCTCTCTAGCTGCTTCAATTGTGGAGTCTCTTCCAATCAGTACAAAACTAGATGATAATCTCACTGTTCCATTGACTTCTTTGATTGTTGGTTGGCTTATTTTTTAGTTTATGTAAACTAGCCATTCCTTGGATGGTTTAGTCATATTAGCAGTGGAGATCAACACTGTAGGCTTTCGCATCCCAAATACAGTGTGCATGTATCCTTGGCAGTCGTCACCCTTCTGGATTTGCATTCTCAGCTTATGGAAAATCCACTTAAGAAGTTGGAAACTAAAACTGACAGTGAAAAACTTTTGGCATTTGATTTGATTCAATTAGTGCGAGCCGTATTCCTTTTTTATGAGGCACTTCATCCGAGCTTTGTCATGTAGTCGTCTTATGGTTCATATTTGGACTTAACACTGTTTTTTTTTTTCATCACAAAATTTCAAGCTATTAAATGGGCATAACTGCTGGCTTTTTTTGCCCATTAAGCCCCCTTGTGAGGCCCTCTAACTCTAATGTATATTGGCATTAATGTATTCATTAATTTGGAAATCACCCTTTTCAATTACCTAGAGTACAGCTATTAAACATAGTAATTATTAACTCTAGAGATAAGTGATGCCTTTTGTTCTTTATGAACTATATAAAATCCGAAAGAAGTGTCTCATATGCATTGTTTGCTTTCAAGGGTTAGTAGTACAGTTGCAATTCATTGGTACAGCCCTTCTATAATCATGTGAAAAGTTTTTAGAAAAGGTTGTAAAAAAATAAGTAGTATAACTAAGGTTTGCCTCAAGATGCATTTGATTGGAGCTCTATGGGGGTAGAGCTGGATTTGGAGGCTGGACCACAGTGGTTCCACTATTTTCAACTTTTTCTGCTCCTGTGGCAGTTTTAAAGCAAATGGTACATAATGGAAGGTGATTTACAACATCTTATACATAATTGAAGGTGATTTACAACATCTTGTATATAATTCAAGGTGATTTAGTTAAGGAGTTGAAGTACACAATAAGATTTATTTATTTATTGTGCGAAAAAAGTTTATATAAGGTGTGAACTAGGGCTGAGAATGCATCAGATCAGGTTTGGATCCACTAAGATCCGGATTTAGATCCGATAAGCATACATGGGAATTGGATTTGGGCCCGATCTGGATCCAAAGAGTATATACTGGTTTTGGATATGGATTTGGGTCCTATTGGATCCAAAAATATCATTTATATATTATTTTATATCTATAGAATAATATATAATACTTTAATAATTGGGTCGGACCCAGATCAGATCCACATGTACCAATTCCGATTCCAATTTACTATTCAGATCCAAATATTGGATCCAGATTTGACCCGTTGGATCCGGGTAGGACCCAAAATTCAGGTTTCGGATCCAAACCGGGTATATTCTCACCCTAGTGTGAACCTTATACTATTGAAGTAAAATGTATCTCAAAACCCCATTAAAAAAGGATATTCCGATGATAGAAAACCTTTAATTGATCATCTCGATCTCAAGATATATGGATACATATAAATTAATCATCTCGATCTCAAGATGTATGGATATGGAAAAAACATCTCGATTTCAAGATGTATAGATATGGAAAAAAAGGATAAAAAAAAGATTTCAAGTCATAAAACTGGTGTATCGTGTAATGCATTATCTGGACTGTCAATTTTTTAAATGTTTATATATCTAATTGATAGCTTTTATGATTAGTCTTGAAAATATATTTCCTAGCCTGGCACCAAAATTGTATCTTTCCCTTTGACAATTCTGACTTCAAATGTAATTTTTTGAGACTAATTAATGGACAGTCACTCATGAACTTCGAAAGAAAAATAATTTAAAGCTTTCTATGTGTGCCAATAGGTGTAAGGAATGTGTAAGGAATTTGCAAATGTAATTTTTTGAGAATAATTAATGGAAGTCACTCATGAACTTTGAAAGAAAAATAATTTAAAGCTTTCTATGTGCGAATAGGTGTAAGGAATTTATATATGCCAACTTAAGGAATTTATATATGCCAACTCTGTCTGATATGAATAAACGGATGAGATCGCCCCAATCACAATGTTATCCCTTAATATTTTTTTTTTGGTTTTTTTATTTTTTGTTCTATAGATTGCACCAAATTTGGGGCGGGGTCTCATCTTCTCATAGAGTCACACATATATAAAATATTAAAAGATTTTTTGATGACGAAAATACTCCTAAAATTTTTAGGGTTATCTTATTTTTTAAAAAATATTTTAAAATATTTTTTAGGTGCACCCAATTGAGATGATAATACCCACCAAATTTTATATTCACATAATTTGTAATAAAATAATTAAACATAAAATACTCTGAAATATCTGATCTAGATCCAATGAAAGTTTTCCCATGAATAAATAACATAACAAAGATTTACTCTAAGCCATGAACCTTGGGAGACATGGCAATTTTGTTGTTTATGAGAATCTTGAAGTTCTAGTATTTTGAAAAAATAAAAACAAATATAAAGTTTGGGCATAAATAATTTTTAAATCTACGACTTTCATATGTATATTAATATAATGGAAAAAATTTATATAGAGCTGAGGCTCTAAACAATCAAATTAGAGTCCACCACCTCAAAACTTTCACCAGAAGAGGTTGTTTTGATGCCCAAATGTCTTTTAATTGATCAAAATGCATGCCCTGTTGGCCTTGATTAAGGCTCATCATATAAACCCTATCTCCACTGCATTCATTCATAAAATGGAGACCAAGATTATTCATACTGCAACTAAGATGAAGCGATTCGTTGGAATTTTAAAAACAAAGAAATGGAGGAAATAGATGGATGCAAATTGGAATGGCCAGCCCTCTAGGGTTTTGCTGCTAAGAAATCTTGAACCATGATGTTGAGGAAAGCATATGAAGAGGCAAGGACACGAGAGATGGTGGTAACCCACATAGAAAATGGGCACTAAGAATTTAAGACTTAACAAGTTGGCCTCCAACCGGGTTCAGCCAGTTAGAATTTGTTAGGTACCTAACCAATTTAAGACTTAACAAGTTGGCCTCCAGCCGGGTTCAGCTTTTTAGAATTTGTTAGGTACCTAACCAATTTAAGACTCAACAAGTTGGCCTCTAGCCGGGTTCAGCTTTTTAGAATTTGTTAGGTACCTAACTAATACGCCCCAAAACCCTTGGGTGATGGAAACGTGGAAAGTTAGGTTTCAAAACCCTTGGGTGATGGAATTGCAAAAAGTTAAGCCTTTAAACCACTTGGGATCGTAATATACCACTACGCTCCGCAGTCGATGTCCTCGGAGGCTCTCACTCTATGGTGGCTCTCACTCTGATTTTATTTTTTCAGGTAGCCCTTTTCATAGGTAGCTCTTTCTTAGGATTTGAACATGGGTCGCAGTGGTTGACGTCCTCGGAGGCTCTCACTCTATGGTAGCTCTCACTCTGATTTTATTTTTTCAAGTAGCCCCTTCTATAGGTAGCTTTTTCCTAGGATTTGAACCTGAGTACCTAACCAATATGCCCCAAAATCCTTGGGCAATTGAAATGTCAAAAGTTAGGCCTTAAACTATCTAGGATCGTAACAGAATTTAAGACAATAAAGAATGACTATCTAAAATCATTTCTTGAAATATGATTCAATTGACTAAAGAGTAGTTTATCATTGGAAAATGGACTTCACGATTGATTTCTCTCGGATATAGAACTCGGCATTGGCAAAGTTCGTCTCTCCATGCCTAAAATGCTTCTTATCAGCACATATTCTTGCTCTCCATTCAAAATTTAAAGCACTGATGGAGACCGCAAGAATGACTTTATCTCCATGGCTGAAATGCTTTTTATCGGCACATATTCTTGCTTTCCTTTCAAAATTTAAAGCAATGATGGAGAGTGCAAGAATGACCTTACTGTCATGATGCCTTGGCCTTCCTGAGAGGGCATTGTATGAGATACCTGCATCAATAACCTTGGCTTCGAATTAGTGTAAGAAATATTGAACCGGAATGGTTAACCGGATATAAGGCTAGAAGCGGTTCAACTGGCTTAACCGGTAGATCTCTCAGTTCAACCGATCTAATCGGGCAAGTCTAGGATGGTCAAAAAAAGTGTTAAAAAAATATAAAAAACTAAAAAATTTAACAAAATATGAAAGTATATTTAAAGTATGGCTGGGCAAAGCACATCCAAATGAACTTGAAAATTAATGAAAAAAATGAAAAAAATTAATGAAAAAATGAATTTTAAAGAATAATATTTTGTGCCCATGGGCATTTTTAAAATTTTTTAAAAAATGAAAAAATGAAAAAATAACTATTAATGGGCAAAACAATTTCCAATATTTGCCAAAATGATAAAAAAAACATTAAAAAATGCATTACAAACAAAATATCTTATTTTTGGGACTTTATATGATTTTTTTTTAAAACCCAGCCGGTTCATCAAAACCGGACGAAACTAGAACCGGCCAGTTCCGATCAACTGGGCGGTTAGAAATCTAACCACCCAATTTTTTCCTACACCTCTTCGAATTGAAATCTAAGGTTTCCCAAAATTATTTGCCTCTCTTTAGATCGAATCTCTTGTATAACAACAATGTTCATTGGCTAAATATCGTTAACTGTTCACTTTAACGAAACAATTAACTCGAACCACATGGCCTTCAGTCCATTCCTAGCATAGTCCTGTCTTGAGTAATTTGAAATAGCAAATTGTTTGAAACCAACCATTTCTTATTGACTTTTGATGAGGCAATAAAAAATTGTTTGAAATCAAATGATATCCCGGAATACCTTGCTTATAATTTTATGTCATAGTGGGTTTGAAGACCAGACTAGTGGGTCGAATTGGCCACCCATTTCGTTTTGACTCACATTGCCCCCCTTTGCTAGTTGGCTTGGTGACCTATGATATTTTAAAAACGAAAAAGTTTATATAAGGTTGCAATTTTAAAATATAGAATTAAAAGTGCACTTAAAATATCTATCGGAAAATGTTGTTTTAATGTTGAAAAACTTTTTAAAATTCAACTAAAAAATCCGTTGCAAAACGTTGTTTTAATATTGAAAAACCCTCTAAATAATCATCTCGACATTGAGATGTATGAATAAAAAAAAAAGAAAAAAGATTTTGAGTCCCATAAAAAGTGTATCTTGCAACACATTATCTAGATCGTTCATTTTCAAGATTTTCATATATTTATAGATTTACCTGATTTTAACCATTTTTGGAGTTCAAAATTTTATAATTAGAGATGAAAATAGATTTTCAGATAATCTTAAGAATGTTTTACACCCAAATTACATGTTATGATAAAATTTGGAGGTGCACCTTAATTGGATTGTTTAGGGTTGCAACTTTATGCA